CATGAATGTAATAAATCAATGCAGACTAGACCTTGTGAACTATAATCCACATGAAAATGAATGTTTCCCATATAGCCATGCATGAGTCGGTGGCAAAGATCTCTAAATATATTTGTAGTGAGGAACATTCTTGAATAAAACTTCTAGCCTTCGAATTCAACAGTTTGAACTTCCATTAGCAACACTGTATGGCAGGTTTCTTTTGGTGACACATCAGAAACGGTACAGCATTCTCATCCTTGCATACCTAACAAGAATTTACATTTTTTTCGCATGACATGTGCTATACTAATACTCATACAGCCCCCTTTAAAAAAGAATTCCTTTGTAGAACTTTTTATTGGTTCCTACTTAACTTGCACAACAGATTCGGTACCTTGAATTCTCAATCAGCATCAACAGTTTTATATATTGATGTAATAGCGAAAGACAAGGTGTATGAGCTTGAGTAGGCTGAACAAGCACAGATGTTTGAAAAAAAAGTACTGTCGAAAACTTAAATGTCAAAATAAAAATTAGGTAGAATGTGGATACAATTATGGATATGGTCATGACTACAGTTAGCAGATTCAATATGAAGAATATGTGTTAGACGCACGCTCAAAAAAACCTGTTGCATCTATATTCATTCAAACTACTTCGCACAACCCAGCGCTGCAGTCTCAGGTGGGAGTTCGCTGAATGAGTCTACGAAAATGAGTGTAGACGGAAAGAGCAGTTGGATCTGCGACAATGAGCATTACATAAGTGACATGTCATTATTACTGTTACAGTGCCGAATGTTTCAGACTGTCTGTTGCATCATTCTGTGAGTTCCCTCCGTACATTACAGGGTTTGGCCCTCTCGAATGCTTTGAGAGAAAAATGATGAACTGGAAATATCTAGAGTAGTTCTTGAAAAACTATTTCCAGAACCTTATCTCAGCATCGTAAAGAATATAAAAAGTTTCTAAAGACAAGGTTAGTGCAGGAGTTGAATAAACTAAATACTTCGTTTTGCGAAACCATCTTGCCGTAGTAAACGTATAAAGTTCCCCTAGGTAGAGCTAGTCATTACGGATAATAGTGCCCATTGCGTACCATGAAAATTTAATTTGCGACCTACAATATTTACAGACTCAACCAACTCTGAAGTGGACCACTTGTCATTAAAGATTAATCTCACCATGACTGTCTGCCAACATCTACATAATAATTTCCATGAACCTATGTATTTCAAGAAAATATTTGGTGCGAGCTGCTTAAAGCACAGTAGCACTTTTTAACAAGTGCTGTTGTTGGGCAAGTTGGTATGGTACGTTAGAAAACATGATTGCGCTTTGAAGACGGGGACATAGGAAGGACAGACACCATAGAGTGCTAACTTTCAACTGATTTAATTCAAGAATCTCAGCGTAGAAACATACTCCGTCACGCACCACATCTCAACCAATCCGTGGCCCTGCCACGGACCGCAAGTACGCCAACTCCGTATCCGCCAACTCAATTGATGCCATACTGACACAAAACGTGCCGGAACTTTTTATAGAGTCAGCCTCCATAATCTCTCTAACAGTCCTATCTTTGTGCCTAGCAAGAACAGTAGACGAAGCAAATAATGGTTTGCACCCGCAGTCATGACAGTGACACGACAGATCATGACTGCGGGTGCAAACCATTATTTGCTTCGTCTACTGTTCTTGCTAGGCACAAAGATAGGACTGTTAGCGAGATTATGGAGGCTGACGCTATAAATAGTGCCGGCACGTGTTGTGTCAGTGTGGCGTCAATTCACTTGGCGGATAAGGAGTTGGCGTACTTGCGGTCCGTGGCAGGGCCACGGATTGGTTGAGATGTGATGCGGTGACGCAGTGTGTTTCTACGCTGAGGTTCTTGAATTAAATCAGTTGAGAGTTAGCGTTCTGTGGTGTCTGTCCTTCCTATGTCCCCGTCTTCAAAGCACAATCATGTTTTCTAACACACTTTTTAACACTAATAGAAAGCCTGTAGTGGGCCACAACTTAAGCAATTTTGACTTCATTATGAAGAGCAATTACACATATGTGAACCATGAATATAAGTTGAACGTTCTATGCTCTGTTTACTATATAAATCTTTGCAGAGCTGACAATGTGTATGTTCTTGTTTTTTTTTTATATTTCACATGTCCCGACTGCTGGGTGTGGTAGGTACTTAAGATTGATGACACCAACGTAACACAATGATTATTTTAAGAATTTGCTTGGGTATAGCACGAGCAAAGTGATCTGTGGGAAGTTATTTCTGTGACACCGTCGAACCTACATCCGTGGGCTTTAAGTTCACATGTTAATCATGTCTGCAGGCTTATTTTTGTAATTGGAACTCCATCCAACCCAAGATTTGAATATGTTTTTTGCATTTTAGGCTTAGTAGTGCCTTTGCTGTTCTATTAATAGGTAAGAAGGATGCTTATTTCAAGTGGCATACCTAACACCTGGTGGCACGAGGACTCCCTTGTCGTGACGTTGATCGAAAGTCACTGGCAGGGAGATACTGCGATGCTCTTGTTGCTCGGACTACCTCCCCCATAGTCCTGTCCAGACCACAGAAGAAGATTGAGTCCAAGCTTGTGGCCACTAGGATCTCCAGATCTTGAGGCACCCAAGTAGCTGAAAATAAACACAAATCACAATCAAGTACTTGGCAGAGCTACATTAGAATGGTTAGCATATTCTTTTGTGATCAGCACATAGATCCTTTTATTTTAGTCTTAGTCACCCCTCAGGACAAGGCCACGTAGGCGTTAAAATGATGGGTACCGAAATAAGGCGAATGATCAAAGGCATTCATTTAACCCTCTTTCGCCCCAACCTGAGAGATTTCTGTCGAATATTCACATTCAACCGTAAAGACTATAAATAAAACTACTACTGCAATGCAGAGCCATGTAGTGGGAGAGTAGCCAGGGGGTGTGGCGACGAAGGCCCCGGAGAGGAGGAAAGGGAGGAGAACGCCGAAGGAGGGAGAGAGAAGGCAGCAAAAAGGAGACGACCGCCATTTTGACGCAAAGCTGTCGGCACGGAGCACTGTTGAGGCTACACGTCGTCTGCTACGGGCTTATTTCTTTTTTTTTTTTTTGCCTGAATAAAAGTTTGCGTTCAAACATGGAGGAACTTCTTTCTTTCGCTTTTTAAGCCACCGAGGAATAACACTATATCATTTTATTGCCAGAGCCTGCCAAATAAAAGGAAAGAACCAAAATTTGGATATCGGTCCCATGCCTGGCGAATGAATGACAATAGAGGCCCTCCCCACTCAGCTGGGAGCAGCCTAGAGTTAACACGAATGCGCTCACGCCTCTCGCTCTGCGCCGCGGGCTGATTAGCTCTCTCGGAAGGGAGACATTACGGCAGCGAAATAATAGACTGCCAGACTTTCCCCATATATGGTTCTGCTGAAAGGGAAAGATTTTCCTACCCTCGTACTCAGCGAGTGTCGACTGGGGATACAACTCCTGTTCATACACTCGCTGAACATGAGGGTAGAGTGTACCAGCAAAGGGCAGGTGTCTGGATAGAAAGAGTTTAGTTGGCACACCAAGAGGCTAACGAATAAGAATGGGTACTACTCTGAGCAAAATGCCAAAAAGAGCGTGAATCTCGGCTTGACACTAACAGCGGCACACAGTATCTATTTTACTGACAAAGGGGTACTAAATCACTTTTTTCAGCTACCTAAGCAAACTAAATATTCTTCCCAGCTTGCTTTTTGGGAAAATCTCTAAATTTACAAGAACTATTAAGACAACAGGTAAAAAAAAAAAAACTGGCAAAACCAACAATCGAATTCACCTGTCACAGTAGCACGACATCTATGGCAGGCAGACATGCAGAATAAGCAAGCAGTTTAAAAAACAGAGTAGGTCCTATGAATAATTTTTTTTTCATGCTGCAAAGCAAGCGCTGGAAGGAGGTTTCACGACATTAACGAAATTTCTTGCAATCAGTTGAGAACAAGTTAGGAGCAGTGAACTTGTCCTTGCCTCTGGCATAACGTTTTAGTGTTGCCCATGGAAACTCAAATAAATTTGTAAAAAAAAATTACTAACCCTCATAAAAAAATCTTATTTTCGCAAAGAAAAGTTATCTTGAACAAAATATGTGGGATACAGTTGTACAGCGTCCATTTGTGTGCTGAACCAATTTTGAGGTAAATCTGCGACAATGAAAAGAAGAAAGGACAATGAAAAGAAAGACAATGAAAAGATAATGAAAGACAATGAAAGAAGAAAGACAATGAAAAGACAGAAAGAATGCATACCTACAACAAAAAAAAAATTTAGAACGACCACGGGCAGGAAACTTTGGTGAGGCTCTTGGAGTGACTCCCTGCAATGGGCCTGCGCAGACCAGAGAACAAGATCGGTCAGAGCTTGCAGCCATAAGGTGCTTTATACCATGAAGTTACAGAAGTAGCTGCAATTGGAAGCAAAGTGCATTTCATTTCTCGGCAGAATGGAGAGTTTAATAGCTAGTATGCATTCATAAGGTGATACAGTTATGAATGCAGATTATTCAATGCAGCACTATATCCCCAAATTGTTAACCGTGCCGGGCAACACTAAAAACCGAGAGCATTCCCTATTGAAAATTCCATCAAGATACGTAATTTGGGACACTGACTGCCAGTCAGCAGCCTTGGTGGAACGTGATGGACCATCAGACGTCATCTGATGGTCCATCAGATGACGTCTGACTGCCACTGACAATGGAATTTCATCAACAAGGGCAGCATTTATATAAGAGTGAAGCTATACGCACTAATAAATATCGCCAAATGCCTCGATAAAACAAATTGTTCGAGAAAAAAAAAAAGAAAAAAAAAAGCAGCACCAACGGGGATCGAACCCGCGACCACTTGCTTACAAATCGGGGACCTTAACCGCTATGCTATGCACTTTTTTTTTTCTTTATTGCATGGTAGTTACAAAAACATTCATGTCATTCTAACAGCACTGCACAGCTTTTTTGCACAGCGTATTAAAAATCACGCATTTCGAGGAGTGATTTTAAAATACTAGTCCACTCCGGCTCAGGTTCACAGTTCAAATACACACTCTGTACTTGTTTTACAAGGTTGAAGAAATATATCCGTACTTCTTTTGCGTCGAGGTCAGCATGTCGAACAGCCATACGTGATCTCCAAATGCTGCACAAAGCTAACAACATAATCATGTCATAAGGGACTTCATTATCATTATCCACACTAAGGAAACGTATCCCTGTTGGGGTAACAGGTAATTCTTTCTTTAGAGTGCGTTGGAGGACATCCCAGAAAAATACCGCGTCCCAACAAAAAATAAACACATGTTCAATAGTCTCAGGTTTTTTACATAGAAGGCAATTTACCGACCATGGCACATAGATCCCTCTTTCTTTAAGCCAAACCTTAACTGGCAAGGTATTCGTGTGTAATTTACAAAAGAAAGTCTTAACAGCCGCGGGAACACACATCCTTTTTACACGTCTAAGCACATCGTGGCCATGTTGGGACACACCTCGATACAAGGGCATAGGGAAAACACTCACAACTAAATCGCGATAGAGCGCTTTTTTACTGACATCACAAAGGTAATTCAAAGAAAAACGTGCTGTCAGAAACCCCATCGTGTCAACAACTTCTTTCAAAAAACCAGTGATTCTTGTTGGCTCGCCGCCATGAGAAGAAACAAGAAAAGATGGCAAATGTGGTGACACTTTTGTCTGAATCAGTGTGCGAATGAACGGGTGCTCTTGGTCTCTCAAAAAAAAGAAGCGCGACACAAGTTGCTTTACAAAAAGGTGGGAAAGCCCCACGCTGCCGTTACAAACTCGATGAAAAAGATTGTCTCGTCTCATCGGCTCATACTTCGAGTTCCAAATAAACGTGGCGAAAATTCGATGAAATTTTTGAACATTGGTTCGCGCACAATGGATGACCTGAAGAACATACCAGAGCTTCGCAATCAGAAAAACGTTACAAACAGTCGCTCGGGCAAAAATGGACAGCTCGCGTTGCTTCCAACGAGAAGCACGCCTGTTCAGGTCGATAGCGACACCCGACCAGTACGTTTGGCTATTCCGGAAACTTTGCAATGGCACCCCGAGGTACTTGCACGGCACTGTGTCCCAGCATACACCCTCAAACTCTGGGGGTGTAGTGGCCCAAGCACCATGCCAGAAACCACGGCACTTTTCCCAGTTTATAACAGCACCAGTAGCGTGGCAAAACCTTTTAGCCAAAGTTATGACTTCGGTAACGCTTTCTTTGTCCCTACAAAAAACAGCAATGTCATCGGCGTAACTCATTATTTTTACTTCTGCATTATAAAATTGGAAACCTCGAACGCGTTGACTATTTTTTACGCTTAAACAGAAAAGCTCTAAATACAAATCAAACAAAAGGGGAGACATAGGGCAACCTTGTCGTACCGACTCTCGTACGTTAATAACAGAACTGAGCTCTTTGTTCACTATAAGCCTTGTTGTACAGTCCTTATAGGCCATCTTTACACCTTTTAGGATGGCGTCACCAACATTGACATGACTCAAAACATCAACGAGTACATCATGGCTAACACGGTCGAATGCCTTATCTAGATCTATCTGTAGCACTGCAACCTGCGTGGTGCTGTCACTGCAGGCCTCCAGGACGCTACGAGCCACATGCACATTTGTCAAGATAGTCCTCCCCTGTATCCCACACGTTTGATGCTCGCTTATTATCTCACATGCGACACCTTGAAGACGACGCGCCAGAATTTTCGCGAAGATCTTGTAATCGGTATTGCATAGCATTATTGGGCGATAACCGGTGACGCTGCGCAGTTTCACGGGGTCATCAGATTTCGGTATCAGGACAGTGTAGGCACGAGAAAACGAAAAGGGCAAACATTCTCTTTCATAGGCAGTATGTATGACGTTCAAAAAAACACTAGCTATTAGGCTCTTAAAGTTCTTGTAAAATTCTGCGCCCAATCCATCCGGTCCCGGCGTCTTAGAGTTCGGCAGGTCGTCGATTGCGCGCTCCACTTCTTGGATCGTAATTTCTTGCTCAAGCTCTTCGCGTTCATCATTCGATAGCCTTGGCAGTTTTTCTAAAAGCTGGGCATAAATGTCCGTATGACACCCGTGCGTTTTGTTAGCAAAAAGCTGTGCGTAATGCTCGAGGAAGGCCTGTGCTATTTTCTCGGGATCCGTAGTAATCATTTGCTTGAATTCAATTTCGGCTATTTCGTTCCGAAGTGCGTAACGCTTCTCGTCTGCCAAGGCACGCTTAGTGGGCTGCTCGCCCATTGTGTAGTTTTCTGCACGGGCGCGCACTACTGCACCACGATAGCGCTCGCGGTGGAGCTGATCTAATTTTTCTCTGACATACTCGACGTCTTTTACCCCATTACCGGGTCTTTCGCACTCTGCTTTACATAGCTCTATCAAGTCCTTGTTTAAACTGCGTTCCTCACACCGGGCGTTGTACGAAAGAATTGATGACCTCTCAATGGCGATTGCCTTAATTTCTTGTTTTGCCAGTTCCCATTTCTCGAAAATGTCCACTCCCGGCTCTTTAAAAGCATCTTTCAAAACTGTTCTACATTTTTTAGAAAGACGTTGTCTTTCAGAAGCTTTATGTTTAGTTTCCATAAGTTCCAATTAAACTTTTTCTTTTCAGGTGCTCTGTCGCCTATCGTCGCGATAACCAGACTGTGGTCTGAGAAAAAGACTGGAGTGACACGGTACTTTCCTAAATGTTCTGCTAGAGGGGCAGAAACATACACCCTGTCCAAACGCGCACTGGACGACGCTTGAAAATGGGTAAAGCGCATTTCCTTCTTCGCGTTTTTTACAGTGCCCACATCAATCAGGTCATAATCCTCCAACATTTCGCCCAAAAGTAGTTCACTCTTATCAGCGTTCCGTCTTATTGGCGATCTATCCAACTGTCGTACAACACAATTAAAGTCACCCACAAGGACTAGAGCTCTATCGCAATCAAGATACCGACGTAAACCGCCAAAAAATAAAACGCGGTCAGTGGTCACATTTGGGGCGTAAATGCAAATAAGCCTGAATTGATTTGACGTTAGCACAAAATCACACATAATGAAACGTCCTTCAGTGTCCGTTGTAACGCATAACTGCGACAACGGCACCGACTTTTTCAGAAGCAGGAAACACCCTGCCGAACGACCAACTGCATGCGTCACACAGATTTCGTAGTTAGGCATGAAAGGTCTGACTGCTTCCTCTACCTGTTCCGCCTCAGCCAATTTAGTTTCTTGCAACGCCAAGAAATCGGGTTGCTCTTTCGACAATAATCGCTGTATTTGGTACTGCTTTTTTCTAGTGCATAAACCACGAACATTCAGCGTTGCAACTGTAATGGCTGATTGGGACTCACAAATCATGCGCTGTGCTTCGGTGCAGACACTAAAAACCTAAGCAGTCAGGGTCCAAGTTGTCTTGATGCAGCAATCTTAAACACCAGGAAACCAGGCAAAGAACGCCTTACTTGCTTTCCCTGCGCCGACGTTCCTCTTTAGGATCGTTGGGCGCGGGCTGGTAACGCCCCTTCTTCGTGCGTTCCATCCAGGGGTGTAGTTGGCGTGCTCCGTTTCCTGCTGCCGTATCGTCATCGAAGGCTTGCTTAGTTGACTCGCTGGTGTCGTCCATATCTGAAGGTCCGTTGGTGCTTGCGTCGTTCGATTCCTTGTCTGCTCCGGCATCAGAGGGTTTCACATCGGCACCGCTGGGAGGTGCGCCTTCCGGTTGACCTCCGTTCTCTCTCGCTGCCCCCAAGGAGCTGCTTCCTTCACTCTTGCGTTCTTTGGCAGGGGTTGAAACTTCTGGCGCCAAGCCCTGGATAGTACGCTCCGCTTCCTCGGCATCCATGGCGTGGTCATTGGTCTCGGTCTCGGCCGTCCCGGCCCCGCTGGCCACCCTGGCGTACGACCTGACACATTCGGTGCCATAATGCCCGAAGCGAAAACACTCCGAGCACTTCGGCGCCGTGCATTCTCGTCGAATATGACCTGTGCGCTTACAGCGTAAGCGCAAGGGCGCCCGACCAGGGATCACAACAAGTACGTTACCACCTTGGATCCGAAGCTGGTGTGGCATGGTATCGGCCGTGCCGCCTTCGTTCAGTGTCATCCGCGCACACCTTGTCGTTGATTCGATCCCTTGGAAGCCTTCAACATTCCACTTCTCCCGGCTCACTTCCAGGACCTTGCCATACGGCTCCAATTCCTTACGCACAACGTCGTCCGGCACATCATACGGGATCCAGTGGAGACGAAGCCGTACCTCCGTGATGCTGGGATCCACGACGAGGCACCGAAGACCCTTCACCTGCAGTTCTTTGGCGTCCACGAGTCGTCTCTTTGCTTCTGCCGTTCGAAGGGTAGCCATCCAAACATGATTCATTTGGTACGCACCAAGTGCTGCGATGTCGCCGAGTACGCCGCACCTGGCCATCTCTTGTCGAAAATCCTGGATACGGTAGGGGCGCCCTTTCAAATCGCAATGCAGAAGCACCGATGTTTCACTCGTAATTCCTGTAGGCATCTGTGGTAAAACAATTTTATAGTCATCGTTCGTCGATTCACCGGAGTGATTAGAACCGCGGCCAGCAAGGGCCGTTGCAGACGCTTCCACGGAGCTCATGTTTCGAACGTCTTGCACGTTCGGCGCGCGCGCTCGATCTCCTATGCTATGCACTCTTTTTGTTTTTATTTATTACATGGAAATATTAGACAACAGCAAGACAAAAACATGGTAAGGTTATCACTTCCCAATTTCCATTACATATAATACTCTATCTTATACTCTCATAGGCTCATTGTCATGAATAGACAGAATGAACAGAAAGGGATACTAAATAAATACAAAATGCACGTGCTAAAAGTCAGGTAAATTAATGCATCGATCAAAAAGAACATACCAATCTGGCCGCTCGTCAAGGTAGTTAAATACATTTCGTACATGCGTTACGGTTTCAATAAAATTGGATTTGGTAGATCGGGGAGGGTCCGCATTCCTGTCAATCATTCTTGTTTTCCACAGGCTATGCAACCCCATTAATGTAAACAGATCGTAAGGAAAACTATCATTAAATTTTAAGGGCGAAAAACGGATTGTGTGAGCATTGATATTCAAGTCTTTTTTGAGTGTCCTTTGTAGGACATCCCAGAAAAGGTAAGCATCAGAGCAGAAAATAAAACAATGCTCTAAAGTTTCCGGTTGGTTACAAACGCGGCAATTGATTGACCACGGCACAAAAATTCCACGTTCGCGAAGCCAGGGTTTTACAGGTAACGTAGAAGTATGAAGCTTAAAGAAGAATGACTTTGCTGTAGGCGTGACATGTAGTTTTCGGACACGTCTGAGGACATCTTTTCCAGGGCCTTCACTATATATGCTTCGGTACAAAGGCTCAGAGAACGTTATGTCAATCAGATCAGTATATAAGACTTTGCGTGAAACCTTAAATAAATGCTCCAAAGAAAAACGAGCTGTTAGAAACTCAATTGCGCTTACTACTTCTTTGAGGTACCCCACAGGACGTGATGTGCTTGCGGGTATCGTCGTAACCACCAAATAAGGTAATGCACTCGCGAGTTCCGTCTGTAAGTAAGTGGCGAAGGAAATGACGAGATGCAGTTTTGAAGAATAAAAATCGAGATATTACTTGCTTTAGAAAGATGTGTATGAGTCCGAGACCGCCGACATCGATGGGGCGAAAGAGGTTATCACGTCCTGTAGGTTCTCAATTGGAACTCGGTATAGAAGTAGCAAACACTCTGTGGAATTTTTTAATATGGCTTCTGGTACAGCAAATCACTTGAAGTATACAGGGTCTGTCCCAAAACTTCCCGGAATGATTTTTTGTGGTCGGCAACGCCGCCTGGCGGGGTGGGGCTTCAGGTGGAAAAGTTAGTGGGGGATATAAGCTTCGAAACGAGACCGGTCTCAGTTGTCTGCTATCACTTGCTGAGGCAGGTCACGCTCCGCGCAGAGGCATCTACAGCACCCTCGTCGAGAAAAAAAATGGACCAGTTTTTGGAGCTACGTTATGCACTCAAGTTTTGTGTGCAACTAGGTAAAAACGGGGCGGAGACGCTCGAAATGCTTCGGAAAGCCTACGGCGACGACGCGATGAAACAAAGCCAAACTTTCATTTGGCACAAGAGGTTCCGGGAAGGTTGGGAGTCCGTCAACGACGACGACCGCTCGGGACGCCCGTCGACATCGCAAACGGATGACTCGGTGCAAAAAGTGCGTCACGTTTTGGACAAGGACCGGCGATTAAGCGTTCGAATGGTCGCAGATGAGTGTAGAATACCCAAAACAATCGTTCATCGCATTTTAACAGAGGATCTCCAAATGAGGAAAGTCTGCACGAAAATGGTGCCAAAGGTCCTGACGAGTGAGATGAAGGAAGAGCGTTTGTTGAAGTGTCAGGAATTGCACGAACGCTTCGAAACAGACCCAGAATTTTTGGACAGAGTGATCACAGGGGATGAGACGTGGATTTTCGAGTACGATCCCGAATCAAAGCGTCAGAGCAGTGAGTGGCACACCACGGAGTCTCCTCGCCCGAAAAAAGCAAGGATGAGCAAATCGCGAATCAAGGCAATGCTCATTGTGTTTTTTGACAGAAAAGGTGTGGTTCACAGTGAATTCGTGCCACAGGGACAAACAGTCAACAGGGAGTTTTACTGTGAAGTGCTCAAACGGTTGCGAAACAGGGTTCGACGAGTCCGAAAAGAAATTTGCGACAACTGGATCTTGCACCATGACAATGCGTCAAGCCACACCGCGCTCATTGTCTCCGAGTTGCTGGCCAAAATGTGTGTGCCAACGCTACCCCAGCCAACGTACAGCCCCGATTTGGCACCACCGGACTTCTTTTTATTCCCAAGAATCAAAAGAACCCTGAAAGGAACTCGGCATGGGACGCTGGAGACGGTAAAAGCAGCTGCGACGACCTCACTGAAGGAGGTTCCTGTTGACGGCTTCCAGGCCGCCTTCAGTGATTGGATTCAGCGTTGGCAACAGTGCATCGAAGCAGGGGGAGATTACTTTGCAAAGTTCTGAAAAGATTGTAAACTTATATTGAATAGATGATTTATAAAAAAAACAATTCCGGGAACTTTTGGGACAGACCCTGTATACCAAAGTTTGGCGGCGAGAAACATATTACAGGCCTTAGCTCGCCCGAAAACTGACCACTGGTTGGATTTCATCTTGTCAGCTTGACATTTGAGTTTTGACACCCGTTCAGTCCAGTAATGACCATTGTTACGGATACTGTTAAGAGGAACTCCTAAGTACTAAGGGGCAATTCAGCTCCACGATATTTCAGCATGCTCTGAAGGTGTTGTGGCCCATTGCCCGCACCAGAAACCTACGCTTTTCTCCTTATTAACGAGTGCGCCGGTTGCGTCACAGAAGTTTTGTGTTATTGTAAGGACATTGTCGACGCTGCGTTTATCGGCACAAAAGAAAGCTATATCGTCTGCGTATGCCAATACTTTAACTTCAGAAGAGTAGAGACGGAAACCCTCCACGATAGGGCTGTTAACTACATTTAAACAGAGGGGTTCTAAATAAAGCGAAAATAAAAGCGGTGATAGCGGACATCCTTGTTTGACGGACGATTCCAGACAAATTCGATTTGAAAGGGAACCGTTAACTATGAGCCTGGTGGCACAGTTACGGTAACATAACTTAACACAATTTAAAAGTGTTGGTCCTGGGTTTACATGACGTAAAATAGCAAACAGGAAAGCCTGGGACACGCGATCAAATGCCTTAGCCAAGTCTACTTGAACCATGGCGACCTGACCGGCATGAAGAACGCAGCTTACTATCACTGAACGCGCAACGTGGATGTTAGTTTGTATACGTCTCCCCCTAATCCCACAGGTTTGGTGGTCTCCAACAGCAGATGACGTGACACACTGTAATCATTTTGTCAAAATTTTAGCAAAAATTTTGTAATCTACGTTGCATAAACTAATTGGTCGATAGCCTTCAATGCGCTGTAATTTGTCTGGGTCTTGACTTTTAGGGATCAACACGGTATGGCTCTCATAAAATGACGGCGGTAAAGTTCCCATCTCATACGCCTCCAAAAACACCTCAAGTAGGAAAGGAAATAGCAAGTCCTTATATGTCTTGTAAAACTCTGCAGGGAGCCCATCAGGTCCTGGTGTTTTATAATTTGGCAACTCGTCTACCGCGCATCGAACTTCTTCCAATGTTACTGGACCACTGAGGAGATCTCGCTGAAGCTGCTTTACCTCGGGCATTAAAGAAACTAAGTTTTTTGCCAACTGGATGTCTAAATGTTGCGTTTTTCCAAAGAGACTTTTGTAATGCAACTCAAATGCCTTCATGATGACTTCTTCGTTGTCTGAGAGTGTCCCATTACATTCTAAAACTTTAATTTTCTTTGAAAGGCCGTTACGCCTCTCATCCTCGAGTGCACGACGCGTGGGTGTCTCTGAGGACAAGAAACGCCTACACCGGGACCGTACTAGTGCACCGTGTAAACGAATGTGCTTGTATTGCTGTAGCTGACATTTTACGCAAAGAATGTCTTGGAACATACCAGCTGTTTCGCACTCCAACTCGTGAAGCATACATAGATTTTTCAAAAGTGTAGCTTCTTCCTTCTTTGCATGAAAGGATGCAATGCACGCGCATTCGATTGCTTCATTCTTAACTTCCTGTTTGAAGGAGTCCCACTGAGCAAATATGCCAAATTTCTGATTCGTTGACACGTGATTAAAACATTCGCGGACACGTTTCTGAAAGTCTTGGTTGTCTAGCAGTCTTGTATTTAGTTTCCATAAAGCCCAATTTGGTTGTGCCTTTCGCGGTGCGTCTGTTCCAAAACAGATCTTTACAAGGCAGTGGTCCGAAAAAGAAACTGGTTTTACGTCATAAGCAGTCACGTGTGAAATAAGCGAGCTTGAGACGTAAATACGATCGAGTCTCGCATTACTTGAAGCATGAAGGTGAGTGAATCGGAGAGTAGTATTTTGGGAAGCTCCGATGTCAAAAAGGTGATAGTCGAATGCAAGAGTGTTTAGTATGTCGGAACTTCTATCGGGCCTTGCAGAAGGCACTGACCTGTTTTTTATGCTACACACACAGTTGAAATCTCCAAATAAAACAATATGTTTGTCGGTGCTGAGAAATGGGATCGGGCTTTCAAAAAAAGAACTACGCTGTCTAACCTCATTATAGGCATATATGCAAATTAATCGCCAGTAGGTATCGTATAAAAGAAAATCGCAGCATATGAACCTTCCCTTATCGTCGACAGTGTGAGAAAGTGATGAATACCCTAAGTTCTTGTTCAAAAACAAAAAAACACCCTCCCGACAAGCCATCCGCATGATTGACGCATACCTCGTAATGTGAGAGGAAGGGGTCCAGTGCACGAGCAGTATCCTCGTCAGACGATATCTTTGCCTCTTGAACAACAACGTCAAGATGTTCCTTTAACTGGAGCTTGTACAATTGAGATTGCCGTGCACGTGAACACAGTCCTCTCACGTTAATGGTAGCGAAGCTCAGGGGAGATGTCAGGAAGGTTTTTGGTTAGGGTGGGAGCACATCGTCATCGTTCCTCACGTCCAGAGCTTCAGATTGCGACGTCTTGTTGCAGAGGAACTCTCGCACCGCAGATGGCTTGCGTTTCACCTCACTTCCCTCGTCGTTCTTGCTCTCGGCAATAATACCTGAGGCGGAGGGCTGCGCATTACTTGTCGTTTAGGAGCAGGTCGTTTCACCGATGTGCCAGTGGACGTCGTGGCGCGTTCGCGTCGGGCAATTGCTTGCTGGCACGGTAACTCAGGTGGTGCGTTAAGGGATGGAAACTCGCTATCCGACCAATCTCTCTGCGTTTCCGTGACACACTCGGCTGGTGTTGACAGTCCTGGCAAGGTGCTGGCAGACTCGGGGTCAGAACGAAGTTCTTCTGGTCGCTGTGTAGACGTTTCCGACTCGGTCCTTTGTGTCTTGATAAGGGAAGAGGCGATGTCCCCTGTGGCATCAACGACTTCGCTGATGTCCATAAGATGATCGTGAACAACATCGTCTGTTAGGCTTCTCGACTGCCTCAGCTTGTCTGCGTAGGTGGTGACGCACTCACTCGCGTCGTGTCCGTAGCGTCGGCACTCGCCGCATCTCGGGACTCTGCACTCACGACGGATGTGACCAATTCTGTTACACCGAAGACACAGCGGTGGCCGACCAGGGACGAGCACCAGGCTTTGACAGCCGAAGACCGTGAGCTGATGTGGAATATTCGTTGCATTCATTCCTGCTCTAAGTGTCAGGGTCACCTCTTTGTTGAGCGTTTCCATTTGCTCCATTCCAGAGAACTTCCATTTTTCTCGTACAATGGAACGGACCGTGCCAAAAGGCGCCAGTGCCTCTTCGATTCTCTGGTTTTCCATGTGTACAGGTAACCAGAGAAGTTTCAGCTTTACATCTCTGGTGTCGGGATCGATTATGAGGCATCTGCGTCCCTTCACGGTAAGCTCCATTTTGTTTACAAGCTTAGCTTTACTTAAGGCGTTTGCGCACGTTACCATCCAGACATGGCTCATCTGAAATTGGCCTATTCCGATGATATCTTGAGCGTCGACAACATCTCGTAAGGCGTCACGGAAGTCTGGGGCCCGGTAGGGTCGTGCGGCGAGATCGCCATGAAGAAAGACGGAGTTCAGGCTCAAGTTACCTGTGGGTAGACGAGGTAGCACGGTCCGGTATTCATTGGTCAACATTTCAGTAGTACTGGCCGAAGCCTCAGCGGCTCCCCGGCCGGTGGCCGGTATATTTTCCTTGGAGAACATCCAAAACGCGACCGTTCTCAGCGGCGTCTTCTTCTTTCTCCTGCTATGCTCTTGGTTAGGGAACTCGATTTAACTTTTCGTTTTATACGAGATGCTTCGGCTGCAAATGCAGTTAAGTTTTCAGCATGTTATGCAAAGCACTCGTACATCACTCGCCGTACTTCAGTTCTACTCACCTGCCATGTGGAGTACTTTCGCGCCGTAGAACGATCCTTTTGTTCGCGCGTCTCCGGCCCAGTAGACCTGGTACACCTTGTAGTCTTCAACTACACCGCTAAAGTCCCTTACACCGTCGGAACTCACAACAGGCTGGGTCTTGTCGAGTATAAATTCTACTAAAACATAAGACATTGTAGAGCCCGGGCAGGATCGACAGGTTGGAGCAAGCGGGCAAACAAAACGAGTAGAGAGCGATCATTCATGAAAGCTCGGCGAAGCCTTTAAGGGGCGAAGCGAAGTCAGCGAACTGGCGTGTACGGCGGGCTTCTTATCAAGGTTGTCGGTCGGCTGCGTGTCATATCTCTAACATTAGCAGTTTTATGGGCTCACGTCCCGAAATCGTTTTCTTGTGAATAGATTATTTTTCGTATTCATAGCTTTGACGAAATAGTGGTATCCGAAGGAACTTTACGTCCTTTGACCGTACGTCTGTCTGCACGTCAAAGCTTTTTGACGTACAGTCAGAGCCAATCGATGTGCAATCAGAATCGCCATCAAGATATCTTGATCGCATTTCGCGGCGGCCACCTGCCACCAGGAAACCATCAGAAAGCCGACAAGTGGAGTCTGACTGGAGTTTGACTTTCGGTCAGAGTAACTTGTTGGCCAATCAGACATCCCTATTGAAAATTCCATCATGGTACGTAATTTGGGACACTGACTGCCAGTCAGCAGCCTTGGTGGAACGTGATGAACCATCAGACGTCATCTGATGGTCCATCAGATGACGTCTGACTGCCACTGCCAAGGGAATTTCATCAACAAGGGCAGCATTTATATAAGAGTAAAGCTATACGCACTCATAAATATCGCCAAATGCCTCAATAAAACAAAATGTTCGAGAAAAAAAAAGAAAAAAAAAAAAAGCAGGACCACCGCGGATCGAACCCGCGACCACTTGCGTACAAATCAGACACTGTAACCGCTATGCTACGCCGCTTCTTAGAGAACTAGATTTCACCATCCGTTTTATACGAGATGCTTCGGTTGCAAATGCAGTTAAGACTTCAGCATGTTATGCAAAGCACTCGTACATCACTCGCCGTACTTCAGTTCTACTCACCTGCCATGTAGAGCACTTTCGCGTCGTAGAACGATCCTTTTGTTCGCGCGTCACCGGCCCAGTAGACCTGGTACACCTTGTCGTCTTCAACTACACCGCTAAAGTCCTTTACATCGTCGGAACTCACAACAGCTGGGTCTTGTCGAGTAGAAATTCTACTAAAACATAAGACATTGTAGAGCCCGGGCAGGAACGACAGGTTGGAGCAAGCGGGCAAACAAAACGAGTCGAGAGCGATCGTTCATGAAAGCTCGGCGAAGCCTCTATGGGCGAAGCGAAGTGCGAAGTGTCGTTTTCGGCGCTTCGGCGGGCTTCTGATCAAGGTTGTCGGTCGGTTGCGTGTAATATCTCTAACGTCAGCGGTTTTATGGGCTCAAGTCCCGAAATCGTTTTCTCGTGCATAGATTACTTTTCGTATTCATAGATTTGACGAAATAGTGGTATCCGAACGAACTTTACGTCCTTTGACCGTACGTCTGTCTGCACGTCAAAGCTTTCTGACGTAGTCAGAGACAATCGATGTACAGTCAGAATCACCACCAAAGACATCCTGATGGCATTTCGCGGCGGCCGACTGCCGCCAGGAAGCCATCAGAAAGCCGACTAGCGGGGTCTGACTGGAGTTTGACTGTCGGTCAGAGTAACCTGTTGGCCAATCAGACATGCTTGACGTACAGTCAGGCACAGTCAGCGGTCCACTAGAAAACATTGACTGCCAAACAGGGTTACATTGATGGATTTTTCCTTCGGGATGCTTGACGTACAGTCAGGCCCAGTCAGCGGTCCACTAGAAAACATTGACTGCCAAACAGTGTTACATTGATGGATTTTTCCTTCGGGTTATTCCAAACTATCTCAGTTTAAAGTTAACCACGGCAGAAGCTGCAAGCCATGTGACCTTCTAGTTGGATGCCATGGTACGTCAAGCTTATAATCATGTGTCACACTGTTTTTGCTGCAATGGCTTGTAATATCAAAAGTGGTCCAGCTTAAAGAGATGCAAAGTACAGACGTTTGTGAGTGGGACCCTCACCTAGAGTGCCTTCATGTGCGCTTCGCATAGAGTGATGCCAACTGCCTGTTTCCCTTTCCCACACCCTCTTCCACCGCCATTTTTTTTCTCTCATTGTTCCCCCGTGCGCCGGAAAGTGGCCTTTGTGTCCATCGGTAATCCCCTCCGAGGGGGAAAATGCTAATCCTCCCTCCATGGGTTCTACAACGTTGCTCCGAACTTCTGAGATAAGGTGCTTGTTTCCGGGAGGGTTATAAGCCCCACGGATTATCGCCGAGGAACAAAATGGCTGCTGGTTTGTCGGCGAGTGGTATTACAAAGGGTGGCATCACCGTAGCAAAGCGCACATGAAGGCTCCCTACCCTCACCTAGTCTTCAGCTACATTGCGAGGTAGGACGTTCCAACGAGGATGTTTGCTGCCTGTAACCACACGACCAGCTTGTGCACAGCGATTGTTTGAGCCGAGTACATGTCCTCGACAGTGTCGTTATTTGACAAGTAGTTTTATGAATGTTAAACGTGACTGACTTACAGAGAGACTGCATCTTAACGACTAATGACTTGGGATACCTAACTGAATACTGATATATCAACAAAATGCAAAACAATCACCTGGCAGGCATTACATTTTTCAACAGGGTGGGTCGACTCAGCATTAAGTTGAAGGAGTCGATGCGTCAGGCACGTAGCCAGGATTTTGTTTCAGGGGGGGCCCCACTCATGACAAAATTCTGTATGAGGGGGAGGGGGATAGGAGAACCCATGCAAAATGGAAGATTTGGGGGGGGGGGGGAGCCGAGCCCCATGGTGCTCCCCCCTGGCTACGTGCCCGCGATGCGTAATAGGACTATACAAACAAAAATATGCCATACAATTCCTTTTGCACCCCCAAAATGATTTGTTTTTCAAGGTAACATACACAATATTCTTAACTCAGAAAGCGCCTCAGCAGTACGAATGCATATGCAGTAAGGGCACTCGCCAAGCCTATTCTCATCAGCTCTGTGCAGGTTAAGCTAAGTTAGAGTATAAAAGTACATGTTCACTGAAAACCTGAGAAAGGTAGGGAGAATTCTCCGTTGTTCCACCACCAGCCCGTCTGCTACCTTTGATGACGTTTCAGCGCCTCATGAGCCTGGAGCGAGCACATCTGTCCAAAGTGGGGTGAAAAGCACAAGCACGTGCTGGAGGACGCCCAGCCATTCTCTTTTTGTCATCGGCTATACTACGTATTTTTAGTATGACATATTTTTAAGCGAGAAAAAGTATTGCAAATATGCAGTCCACCTTTGACCATAATACAGAATTCTGATAAAGATAACAGTTGCCACTCACCATTTTCGAAATAAGTGCTCCCACGTATCGGAACATCTACACATGTGGTGCGTGAGTGGGTTCAGGACTGAGAGGCTAGAAACCCAAGTGCTCACAAGGCTTGTCTGGCCCTTCCAACCATGCGGGTACATTCGTCGCAAATCCCCGATTTTTAGACAAAATGATTTAGAATAACCAAATCTTGTCTACGCCCGAGGTAGAACATTGAATTGTGATTCCCCCATATTGTGCGAACCATCATTCAAACTGCGGCAAATGAACTATGTTGTGCTGCGGCACGCGTCCATGCTGCCTGCTTCAGAGGAAAACCCGTCCTCATGTTGAAGACGACATCCCACAATGTACAGGCAACAATGTTTACCGAACTAAAACAAAATTGATATCATCCAATAGACACAGATAGGCTCACAAAGTGTCAACACCATAATTGTTGTTGTTGGTTTTACTCTTGCATACAAACAAAAGTGACTTCCTCTTTCCTCCGATGTACAGTAAAAAAAAACTTATTTTCGTGGCCCCTATTTCTTCTCGAATCGGTCACAGAGGACATAATCGCAGCCACTGAATTCCGCAAAACTAAAGGCCGCGAAAATTAAAGGTTCGCCAACATTAAGGGGTTTACTCTTCTTCCATGTGTCACATGATGTTAACATTTCAAGGAGGCTGAAGGTATTGGTTTAAAAAAAATTGACCTGTGAAAGAAAATGCCGTTCTCCAGGTTAGGCACGCGAGGTTCTTTTGCACTACCTATAAGGTGGCAAGTTTGTTTCAGCAGAGGTTTTGGTAAAACGAAGGCACAAAAGTAGCTGTACTTGGCATCAACTATTTTGTGCTGCATTATAAAGCTAGAGTAGATTCCACAGTGCTTCCGCACAGCACTGTTTGTTGCGAGAGAATATGTGGTTTAGTGTTGCATCCCATTTGCATGATCCAGAGAAACTAGCGCTGACAGTGTTGGAGCACTCCAAATAATAACAGCCGACTGTAGAAGCATTGAGAGATGCACAGATGCGAACTGTGCATTCCTTAAAAGTGGATTCGAGCAAAGGTAAAAACAATACATATACTTACGACGGCCATACTTGCCTTTCCGAAGCACGACCACTTTTCCCTCGGTCGCACCA